AATTCACGAAATTTACGCGAAATTATTGATCATTATAAATATCTTACGGAACTATCATTGTTTTAATATAAAATAAAATAAAATTTCAAATATAGAAAATTTCAATATTTATTAATAAATATACAAGTTTTTATAAGTTTTTATCAAAAATTAAAAAAATTTTATTAATATAAAAAATTTTTAATAAAAAAGTATATATGTATAAATAATAATAAAAATAAATATAAATAAATAAAAAAATAAAAAAATAAACAATAACAATAAATAATAAAATAAATATATTTTTTTTAATTGAATTAGTAAAATATGAATTTCTTTTTCTCTTATTAGAAAAATAAGAAAAATTTTCATTATTTTAATTTATATTTTCTGATAAATCAATAGAAAGTTTTCTAAAATTAGATAATGATAATTTTTCATTTATTAATGAATTAAAATCATTAATAGCTATTGTTAATTTATCATTAAGATTATTTTCATTTAAATTAATATTTTCAAATATTTTATCATTATTAATTTCTTCAATATTTTCAATATTATCATCTATTTTATCATTATTTTTATTATTTTCATAATTATTTTTTTCAAGAGTTAATTAAAAATTAAAAAATTTTGATAATTTTTCAATTGATAATTTATAATATTGAAAACAATAATCATAGTTAAAATAAATTAATAAAACATATAGAATGATATGCATATATATATATTAAAACCTTTATATCTGGATCCATATTATTGCAAATTGTAAATCATAAAGTTTTTTATTATTTAAACTTTGATTGATATAATATACTAATAGAAGAATTCCTTTTACAAAATATTTTTCAATTAATGAAATATAAACTTTAATTTATATCATTTCCTTTAATTTTAAATTCATTTTGTTTTTGATAAAGATTTTTAAAAAAATTCAAAAAAAAAATACTTGTTAAAATAAATAAAAAATCTAATTGAAATTTAGAAAATGGATATTTTTTTATTTTTATAAAATCTTCAATAAATTTATTTTTATGTTTTTTATAATCTATAAAAATATCATATTGTTTAAGAGTTTTAGAATTTATTAATTTTGAAATGGTATTTCTTCGAACAAGACTATAAAAATTTTTATTAGATATTTATCAATTAGATTAAGATATTTAAAAATATATCTATTATTGAATGTTTTTGTTCATTCTATTGAAAAATATCTGATAAAAAAAATCAATATTATTTTATCATAAATTTTTCAATTATATCTTCTAATAATCAAATATTGTTTTATAATAATATTTAAAATAATTATGTTGAAATAAATTTGTATAAATATTTAAAGTTGAAGATATAATATTATTTAATAAATCTAAAATTGAACAAAATCATCCATTTTTAGAATTTTTAAAAATTTTAAGAATTGAAAATTTAATTTTAATCCATCTCATATAAATAATATAAAGCAATAAATATATTTGCCATGGTTTTAATTTTTCTAATAGATTTTGTTTTTTATTAAAAAACTTTTTTATATAGTTTATTGAAAAAGAGATGAAATTTAATTATATATGTTTCACAAGTATTTAATGAAACATATAAAGGTTCAAGTATAAAAACAAAATAATTAATATTTTATTTGATATATTAATATTATCATATAAAAATTTTTGAACAATTAATTTTTGAATATTTAGTTATTCTAAAAAATCCATTGGAATAAGTATAATATTATCTTTTAAATATAATTTAATTTCTGGAATTTCCAATAAATTTGTAATTATTTTAAATAATTATTTTTATTTTTTAAATTTGAAGACAAAATATATAAGTTTTGTATTTTTAAAAATTCTCATATATTGATTTTTATAAGTACTATTATATATATAAATAGATAAAATTCCATTAAATTTTTAATTGAAAATGTTGAAATATTAAAAATATTATTTCATTTCAATTTATAATTATTATAACTAATCAAATTATTTCTTATTTTATGAAATAATACATTTTGAAGTTGATTAGTTTCTATTAAACCAGATTTATAAAGTATAAAATTATTAAAAACAAATGGTATATTTGAAATATTTGTTGAAATCTTAACAAGTATTGTAATCATATAACATATTCTATTATTTAAAGTTATAATAGGAAGTTTTGTTTGATAATAATTATAATAATCATTAATATTAAGAATAAAAAAATTATTTAATTTTTTTAAAAATATTGATTTATAATTTTTTTTCAAATCTATTATATTTGAATATAATTTGAAATAACTTGTTATATATTCAAAATATGATAAAATATTAATAGCTCTTATTGAAAGTCCACTTGTAATTTTATTATTTTTTAGTTTAATTAAATTGATAAAATAATATTATTGTTTTGACTTTAAGTTTTTTATGTGTTTTAGAAGTTTTGTCTTGTTTTTTTTTCTAAGTAAAGAGTACTAGTAGCATATGATCTTTATTAAATGATTTACTATATATTCAATTATATGATTACAAGGTTTATTTAAGTTAACCCACTATTTTACCTATAACCTTATCTAGTTATACCAACTTACCACCCATAGGTAGGACTATACATTGGATAGAATATTTAGAAGATAGAAATTTTATTACTAGTTTTAAACTATCTAATCTAATATAGATCTTGATAGTTGTTATTTGAAGCATATACCTTTCAGAGTTGGTTAAAATATCCAGATAACCTGTTTAATATTTTTCACTTGGTTTCTTGAAAAAGGTACTATACTCTTTGTTATCATCTGTGACTTCAGATTTTTTTTTTCATCAGGTTCTCTTCTTTTAAGCCAGTGTCAGATTGGGATAATTCCAGGCTTGAGTATTCTTTGTACTATGGAGTTTGCCATGCAAGAGGGTTGTGGACTTTTATTAGAGTTAGACCAGAAGTCTTTTATTATGCAACCTTTCCTGCTTTGACCTGTTTTCAACCCATAATAATCAGAAAGACCAGAGGTCCTATCTTCATACAGCCTAACTAAATTTGGTCAGGATCCAAATGTTTGGAGTATGACATTTGTAGAAAAACCAGTAATATTTTATTGATAATCACATTTGATCGCATCCATCATACTGGTCAAATCTTTTATCACTTATGCAAATAAGACAAGGGGCTGTACACATATCCAATGCCAAATAAAGTGGTTTCTGTGGATCAAAACAAGTTTTATTGGAAAATACAACTATTGTTCTGTCTGTAGAGGGCCATGAAGCATTATTGAATAAATTACAACTCATTGCACTTCAATAGATACAAAAAGCATCCGTTCATTAGTCTAGCCAGATCACATACACCAGTAGTAACAGATACAATTGCATATTAGAATAAGGAACTTTGTTATGCTTCGTTGTTATCATTAAAAGCCAAGTGATAATTTTTTTGCGCAAAATGCTGGAGTAGACTTATCAACCATTTCGACTCTAGGTAATTGAATATCGAATAAGTTATATCATAAGCTTTATTAGCGAGGAATCAAACTACTGTATTACTACAAAAATTAATCAGGATATAATAACTCAAGATAAATAAAAAAAAAAACGAAATGAATAAAGTGAAAGGGAATGAAAAAGAAGATTATTTTCGTTTGGCGATTGGATTTTTCTCCACAAGAAGCACATTATTAAGCGCTTACATTCAGAGAAGTTTATTTTGAAAAATGATAGCACACAATGAATGTCATTTCAAATAGACGAGCAAAAAGATAAGTGAATAATCATGTTTCCTTCCCATCAACTTAATATATCATTTTCGAGAATATCCGTTATATGTTTGTAATTAGTAAAAATCAAAGTTAGTATAGAATGACAACAAATAAAAATATAGTCTAAGCAACGAAAGAAATATGGAACGAGAAATAAATATCTGATACTTTTAATGCTACTTATAAATAACACAAAAATAAAATATAAAGATCGTGGGATTTTGGTTATAGAAGTATTTTTGTATATCTAACGATATAATATTACGTATATTCTTTTTGTCGACTTAACTTGTATATATTCCATACCAACAAATCTTGCCAATATTTTATTTTTGGCTAATCCGCAGTAAAAATATTTTATGTTTATAATTTAATCTGTGAAACGTTGATAACAAAGTACTGTACTACAGTACTAAAATCAGTGGAACAACTTATTGGTATATTTTTTTTTAGTTCCTTTTAATTTCAAAAACATAATTTTTGACCAATTTTTAAATTTTCGCAATTAATATAGAAAGTGAACCGGTAATTTGTTTCATCGATTGTGCATTAGGTTTCGCAATTACTGTACGTAATATTTGCCATAGTATAATTTAAATATGGGAAATATAATAAAAAAGCAAAGCAAAAAAGATTTGACATTAACAGAACAAGCAACTTTAACGTCCAACTTTCGGCACGTTGATGGAAGGAGATATCATAACGATGCTAATTCAAAATACTATCTTCCAAACGACTATAAAGAATTAGATCGATTGCATTTACAACATTTCATATACAAACATGTATACAAGAACAATTTTTTTGCACCTGTTGAACACGTTTTGGAAAGAAATGGCTCAAAGATTCTTGATATTGGGTGAGATTTTATCTAAATAACGCCTATAACAAACCTTTCTTAAAGACAACGTTTTAACCAATTTTTATTTAACTAAAGTTGTGGTGCAGGTTCCTGGATGTTTGATATGGCGACAGATTATCCAAACGCAGAAATCATAGGAGTCGATATCTCTCCCATTCAGCCTACCGAAATCAAACCTGCAAATGTATCCGTTGTTTATGCAAATGTTTTGTCTGGATTGCCCTTCGAAGATGATACTTTTGATTTTGTATTTCAACGTTTAATGATAAGTGCGATTCCTTCGGATCGTTGGCCTGATGTTATCGTAGAACTAATTAGGGTTTTAAAGCCAGGAGGTTACTTAGAGGTATTAGTTATACCGTGATTTGAAAATTACATTTATTATTAAATAAAATTCTTTTCTATAACTTTGTTTTCTAGTTATCAGAGGTGAGCATGATTGGTCATAGATTGGGGCCTGTTTCAACGATATTTTTTGATACCGGTAAGAAATTATGTATGTAATCTGCAAATTTTTAGTAACTATATTAATCATTATATTTACGTATATGTAGTTAGGAAATTACAAATAGCTCGAAATCTTGACACCGATATATGCTACAAAACACGAACTTTATTAGAAGAAAATGGTAAACTCGAAGATATCAATGAGGAAAAAAATGCGTTGCGTTTTAGTACCGAAGATGAAAACCTAGGAAAAGCGGTAATGAATTTTTTATTTAAACTCGTAAATACAGTTAACTTTCTAATTTGCAAAATTATTTTATAGGTTACTGATAACACCAAGACAGCATTTTACAACATGAAACCCGTTGCTATGCCAATTTTAGGAGTAACCTCTGAAAAATTTGATGAAATGGTTGAAACGTGTGCTAAAGAGTTGGAAGATAATAAAAGTTATCACGAAGTAGTTCGTGTTTATGGGCGTAAGAAGGGAACAGTTTGATTTCGGATATGCATTATTATACGTTTTGATATTATATTAGATTTCTTAAGTTCTTTATTTTTCTAGTATGCATATAGTTTAAGTCTATGAATAATTGCTTTTCATCTCTTACTTTATAGTTACTGATAAGATTATTTATTACGTACACTCGAAGCTTGCCTGATAAACTTTTTTATATGGTTAACTCCAGAAGTAGATACGCACAGGATAAAATAGATCAAATAATAATATATTCTATATATCATATGCCGTAAGCGTATGCCCATGTTAAATTTTATTTTTTATTAACTTGGTTTTTTAAAATACTGTAAATGTATGGTAGGTTTATAAATCACAATTTTTTCTAAAGGAAAAGTATAAAATAAAAATATGGATATGTAAAATGTTAAAGTTAACCAGAAAAAAAAAGAATTAAATAAATCTACCCTTCTTAAATCTTATAAATTTATAATAAATTAAAAATTAAAAAATGAAGTCAAAATTTAAATCAAATGATTATAAAATTTATAGACATTTAATTATAATATAACATTTGAGCAATAATATATGGATACACTACCTAGACAAAAGTATAATGCATCTTAAACTTATTATATTATACAAAAATGTACATAATAATTTTATTTAAAATTTTAATATGTTATTAATTATATATACATAGTATACAGTATATTATTTCTAAACAAATTGCATACCAATGTATTTATCAATCTGTAATCAGAAAATAATAATAAAACACAATAAAAATATTGACATTAATACTAAATAATTCTCATGTAACAGAACACCATCAATGAGTTTATCAAAATAAAATTATTATAATGGTAAATTTAAGATGTTGGATTTTTTTAAGCAGTATACATACTGTACATATACAGTACGTTTGATATTACGTACTGTACGTAATTAATAATCAATCTATAATAATAAACCTGTTAAAATTTTACTGCTATACGTATTAAATAATATATTGTACGCATTTGAAAAGTTTTGTTATAACGGAAAATTCAGAATAAAAAACATCAGGATCGTATTATTGTTTATGTTTGTATTATTTAATACTTTTATTAATTTAATATTTTATATAAACAAACATATTATATGTAATATATTATATAATATATATGTATACTGTAAATTCTTTTTTTTTTAAAACGTAAACGATTTTTAAACATACTGTGCATGTTGCATAACTTTAAAAAAAACATTATCAATCTATCATATACAGTAGTTTGAATTTTAGAATAAACGGTAAATTGATATTGTTTATTGTATGTTAATTTACTGTATTTTCGATCCAATAATTTAAATATTTTATTTTGCTATATTTGTTCATGTAAATTTTATGGAAATCTTTTAAAACGATATGTTAATATGTTATTTAATCGATTTTTTTAAATAAATTTTTGACCGGATATCCATGATTAAATTGTTAAAAAAAAATAGTATCATAATACGTACTATACATACGTATAATACTGTAGAATTTTGATAAATTTTTTATTGATTGAAATTTTATTAAAAGTTTATAATTGATATACCGTCATTACAGTATCAGTGAAAGTGAATTAGAAATTTCCCCAATTGTCTTAGCAAGTTTTGAAGCTCAACAGGAAAATTAATAAACCGCAAGTAATATATTACATAGATTAATTTGGTGCTAAAGTTCAAGGGTCCAAAGTAAATGCCCATATGTGCTTGTGATTTTATATTATTGGTGTTTCATCACTCGTTTTTAGCATTTCATCGAAAAATTGGGCTGGTATTATTAAACTAATGCTTAACAAAATCTCAGATATATGGGTTCTCGGAATTCGCCTGTTTATAACAATTCCCACATACCCACCGCCATCGTCCGTCTTTCATTATAACGCGTGTAAGGCCACCCAATTCCATTGACTTATCATTTTCTTTTAAGAATACTTCGAGTTCCCTTAATGCAGCGCCTTGGACAACTTTCATTCGGCCAATAGGATCGTTTTTTACTCTCTCAATATCTCTTGCATGCGTTGTATTGGTGATCTCCACATCGAGAACTTGTGTCAACTGCTTAAAGTATTCTGTGGGTCGAGTTGAAACCTTGCAAATAATATCACTGACATTGGATGACATGGATGAGTTTGTAAGTAGACCAACCTAAGCAAAGAAATCAAAAAATTAAAATTAACCTAAATTATGATGATCGTAAGATAAAAAAAAAAGGAATTTAAAACTTACCCCAGCAGTGATAACCGTGGCCATAATGGATAGATATGGACCGGCTTTTGCCAGTAAAGGTTTCGGATCATGAATTTCATATCCTTTATGGCTCGTACAGTGTGCTCCTCGGTTATCATATTTTAGACCTTCGCAAAGAAGGTGTAGAACGAACGTGTTCCTTCCCCATGTGTGAGGTTTGAATATGGTATGTGAATCTTGACCTGGCAACAAAATATACAAGCGTGGTATTGAGGCATCCATAGTATCTGTTATGCTGTTCATCACAGCATCAATATGCGAGAGGATGAGGTTTGTTGTTTCTTGGAGAGTGGAGAGGATGGTATTGGTGTTTTGATTTACAGCCGTAATAATCTTGTTGGTTGACTCATTTTGTAACGAAGAAAGCTAATAAAAGGTAAAGTGTAATGTGGTGGGTGATTAATGCGAACGATGATGAGTGAACAGCACAATACAAATACCAACCTGCTTGGTGTCCAAACCCGAATTTAAGAGGGCCGATCGAAGGATTTGCTCGCACGAGATTCTTTTGGATGGGTTGACGGCTAACATTTTTTCCAACATGTTTCTAGCTTGTGGATCCGAGATTTTGTTGAGTGGAAAATCGACTAATTCGCCTTTTGCAAAACTTTTAGTTAATTTATCATTGGCTTCTTCTTCAGAATAGAAAAGCGGTGTGTGCGTGTATAGCTCGAAAATCATGCAACCCAACGACCATACATCCATCGAGGTTGAGGCGACGATAGACTGATTTGTCTTTGCGGCATTGAGTACCTCGGCTGTCAGTAATATGATACGGTTAGATTTTAGCGAACATAATGGAAATAATTTGCACCAGACGAACAGATACGTACGTGAGCAATAAAGTGGAGAGCAATCATCTACCAATTCCTCGCCCGCAAATCGTGCAGCTTCGAAATCCACGAGACGCCTTTTCAATCAAATATCAAAATAAGCGAAGATACATTAAACCTAAGATACAGATCATCAAAAGCAGCTTACCACGACGTGATATCGGATTTTTCGTGAACAAAATTACTTGGTTTGATGTCCAAGTGAGCAATTTTGTGGGTATGAAGATAATGAACCGCTTGTGTGATCGATTTTATCAGGAGTTTAACATATAGGACGTCCATGTTAGAGAGTTTTGTGAGTATCAACTTATCCATACTCTGTGGATAATAATCCAAAATCACAGCATAAGGCCAATTCTGTTTCGGCTGAAATTCATATAATGCCAACAATTCACCGACATGACGAGATCGCAGGTACTTGAGCATGACCACTTCGCGCTCGAAAGATTCAAATTTTTGGAAAAACTTGACGGCAACCTGATCGTCAGTTTGTTCGTCAATAGCCTGACGTATCATGTTGTTTCCACCGTAAGCAGAATTTCCGCTAAGCCGGTAGCGTTGGAGGATGATCGTACCAGAAGGAGCTGATGGTTCTGCGAGAACAACATCTGGTTGATTATAAATCATGGCGGTAACCTTGTGACGGCCGAATATCTCATCCTTAAGTCGTGAACCAGGAAGAGGAGCGTGCATGCGCATTGGATGTGGGGCACCTGATTGTGTTGTCAATGTAACACTTGACGAATTCAAAGAATTCGAATATAAGACGGCATTTTGTGAATCGTTAGTTTTGTCGGATGCTGAGTCATATTTGGAGGGATACAGTTGTAAATTAGGATCGACGTTGAGATGATCCTTGTCGTTGAGCGGTTGAGCTTTGCTCTTTTTCCTGCGATAAAAGAAAATACCAATGCAGACGCCTATGACCAACACAATGATTACGGCCACAGCGATTCCGATATATATTATTGATGAGCTAGATTTCGCAGGATCATCACCATCCGAGGTACCTGACTGTGCCGTCTTTGAAGTGCCGGATGGGTTCGTGGTTGAAGTAGAAGAGGGCTTTACTAGGAAAGGATCCGCTTGGTTGGGAGCCAAAGGACCACCAACAAACTTGTCCATTGGCGCATTCGTCACATAATTGTAAGTTGTAACCCATGCCTTCTGAGTCATGTTGAAGATGAGTAAATCAGCAGTGTTTCCCATATAATAATTTGTGTCTCCTTGTGCGCTACTATTAATTGTGCTGCCACCATATGTCTACAAACGTTTAAAGCGCGAATAAGAACATCACGAAAGTCCAAGGCAAAAGATATATTCATATTATATTAGAAAAAAAAAAACAAAAAAACATATATATATATGCGTACAACTAAAGCGTCACATCCGGGGAGTTGTGTGCTGGCGTAATATTCATGGCTCAGAGTGGACATGGAGCCATTGACATAGGTATAGAAAGAATTGTTTGATAAAGTCTGTCAAAGAGTAAAATCGATGAGTCGAGAATATAAAATTTTTTTTAAGAAAACGAACAAATTTGTGAAATAAAATCCTATACCCAAACTCTCATGGAGGATTTCAAGGTGTCACTAGCACTAGAAGTTATGTAAAAAGTGTCATTCAGTTTTCCCAAGTGTCCGTCATACCACCCGGTAGACATGGTCGCTTGCGGGTCAAACCATTGACGTGTGGGGACATTGAAACCCCATACGGCATCGAATACACCACCATTGAAATCCGAACTTCCACCGACTATGTACACGTTGTCTTTTGAATATCCGATGCCAAAAAGTCCATTTGGAGGTGGAGTGGTTGGTCCCTTTGGTATTGTTTCCCATGTCATGTTTCCAATGTGTAGTAGGTAGGTATCGTTTGCCGGTGACCCTCCAAATTGAAACAACACCTCGTCTCCAAACGAAGTTTTAAAAATCACAAGCCTATGACTATTGACATAAGTGAGGTATTTGACGGTATCAAGATTCGAGGTTTTTGGAGTGTACCTTTTGGACGAATACGAAAGTCGTTAGCACAGCACATGTCAATGAAAAACCACGGAATTCGACGGGCGCATTATTTGCACATACCATTGACCACTTGTTCCTTTTGTTAGGTCGAAAGCCTGAATGCCTTGATAGTTAGCATCGCCTGACCCACCGCCCGTAACTAATAATACACCGGCGGAAGTTACGCCACACGCGGGTCGACTGCTCACATTATGGGCACCGGTTGTTGGCAAGGCAACCCATTTCAGACTCTGAGTGTTAAACGGAGCCTGCACATAACTAAACCAACTATGCCGCACGTCATCCCCGGCACCACCGAACACATAAATTTTATCGCCATAAGCAGCAAGACATGGGCTATCGCGAGGACCTGGACTCGGGTCAATGGTCGCTTGCTGTGCAACGGTTGAGAAAAAGAGTAGAAGTGAGATTATGTATAATATGGAGATTTTTGATTCGAGAATAATGGTTGTAAGCCGTGAATTCATGGTCGATGAACGAGGGGGTCGATGTTACGTGGAAGGAGGGGAATGATTTTTCGATGCGCAGCAAACGAATGAGGAGTTATGGAGAAAGAGAGGATAAATAATATTTGTTTTGATTTCCGAGGTTACCTATTATATAAATGTAAGTAATTTAGGAAATTCCCAAAAAGAAATATTTTAATTAATTCTTTAATATCTGCAATGTAAAAACAATTACCTAATAAAGTATTGAATCGTGTACAGCGTATTAAAATTGGCGCGTCCCGAGTAACATCCTGGTGTTACATCTCGATTAGCCAATAACAACGAAACTGTTGAATGCCAGATTGAATTCTTTGTTTAACCATACTGTCATCATGCACGTCCACCGTATGGTGTTTATGGATTCAGGTTCGTGATTCGTTGATACCGAAAACCGAATTTTGCTAGCAAGGTGCGATCTCATGTCGCATGTCGATGTGACAACTTGCAGTGCGTAAAATTTTAAACGTTTTTTCCACGCTTGTTAGCATAAGATTGCATATCCTGTGACATACTGTATTTATTATCCTTTCGTTGCCACAACCTGTATCCATTTTTATAAATTTTCTTTCTCGACGTTACCATAACAAATTTACATTTCAAAAGAGTTAAGATAATCGAATACAACAATATTAGGATGTTTTTTAGAAATAGAGGGAACTTGGGTTTTGAATCGTTAAATTTAAAACCGGAATAAACAAAACCTTGAAAAGAATGAACACACGATCCCAAAATCATCATACAATATTTTTATGTCATTGACATAAATACTAAATCTTGAAATTGAAATTTTTTTAAAGAATTTTTGAGCAGAAACTTTTCAATCAATAAGAAAGCATGCCTTATAAAGTTCACGTGCAATGCATGGTTGAGTCCTTTCATTGGTAGAATTAATCAGTTTTTGATCCATCGTTTTTTTTTTTTAATGGTACGCATTTGGGTATATTGGTGTTATTCAAGAGATATGAGTTGTCACACAACTTTTGCGTTTTGGGGTTTTTGCAATCCAAGTTATCCTTCACGTGATTTCCTTTTAAACGAACGATTTACAATATGCCGGAATCGTTAGCATACATCGTCGCCGAGAAGGTTAACTATAAACATCACAATCTTAGAATGATTTCTTTTATGGAAACGCCGTGTAACTACATATTCTATGGTATACGGAAACGGTATGCAATACTAATGGAAAAATAAAAAAAAAACCGATGAGAGCATTTCGGAAAGATGCTGTGTGACAAACACGGAGATATAAACGCGAACCTCCAAAAATATGATTACTTTAAAATTTATTTTCCGCTAATAAATTATTAACTTAAATTAAGGATAAACAATGACCTACAGGTTTTTTTATCTCACTTTTGTCTCCTTTTAATTCACATTTGATTAATATCTTTTCTCTTTTAACGGTCAAGGTTCTCCCTCGAAATCAGGTTACAATTGTAAAACAATGAAGAACATTATAATAAGTCATAATCTTCCTTTGTATGCTAAATTATTGCCATAATAATTAACAACTGACCATTAAATGACTTAGAACGAATGAAAGATCAAGCAGAAAATAAACAAAAACCAAAGGCATCAAGAGGTGCAGTGAGCAAGAAAGAAAAAATTTGTAAACGTGGAAAATATTCAAAACCGTGTGATTATTGCCGTCTTTCGCCTAGCAAAAAGAAATGCGTGCATGTTGAGAATTCCTGTGTAAAATGTAGGGAGAAAGGTAAGGTATGCTCCAGAGAACTTACGAAACCCAACGATATTGGTAAGTTTCATTAATCAAGTGTCCTAGTCATATATGCGATGATACATGGTTGTGCATTCAAAGCTTTTAACCGTTGTGACTCGTTATATGTTAGAAAATCCTTCGACTTCTTTTGACCCGAATCTCCCTCAAGGTATGTTCTTATTTGCACTTCAATCACTCGATACCAATTTCACATGCGCATTTGTTATCAGACATTACGCCTTGGGATGACTTGGGAATGTCCCAAGAAGCAATTATTAATCAAGACCGCAAGCTCTGGATAATCCTTGGAACGTCCGAAGAGGAGCTTGATCATTTCGTATCAGGCAATAATCATATATTCTGTAAGTTTTTTGATTCCATTTTTGTACTTGTTGTCTATATATACAGTATTCATCCTTTTTTTTTTTTTTTTTAAGAGGCAAATTATGCAACAATGCATATCTTTTATTGATAATAGATATACGTATAAGCAATACATCAAGTACGGAGTAATTTGTACTTTTGTACACCATTTATGTCTTCTACATAGTAAAGTTAATACTGCCTATTGACTATTACTAGTAATAGCTAACTTAATCTACCTCTGACCCAGCTATACGAACTTACACTACGAGCATTCAACCTTTTTGTTCTAGACATTAACATTATAAGTTTATTTAAAGTTACTGGTAGTGATTACTAGACCTATCTTCCTTTCTATCCTAATAACTTGTGTGTTCTACGCGTTCTCATCGAGAAGAAGCCTTTCTTTTTCATTTTTTTATTATGAACATAGAGATTAGCTAGTTTTTTTATTTTTATATGTCTTTGTACACCGACCCTTTAGAACATTGTAATTTATTTTAATATAAGAAAAAAATTTTTTAGATATCAACATCTGTTTTGCAAAAAAATTTTATTGAAGAATCGTCAAAGTAACAAATATGTATCAAAAAAAACTATTTGGATGATTGTTATTTCATACATCAATAAAATATTGTCGTAAGCATATCCCCTTACAAATATGTGCTCGAAAAATTTCACGGGTTTAATTTCTTAAATATAATAGAATGCATGCAGCATTTAAAAAAAATCCGATTCTACTGAATTCTTTTATTTTATTTATGAAGATTATGGTAATATGATACATTTTTAAACAAAAATAATAAAATAATAAAACTCTGATTGACAAAAAAAAATCATATCAAATGTCGAGATGAACTTTGTCATCATCAACCTAATGTTATGGTCATACACAGTGCGTAAACAAAAAAATGCCGATATATTTTTACTTATAACTTACTTAATCAAAAATTATCCATTTCAAAAAATTTTTCAGAAAAAATCCCCCAAAAAATAATACTTGAAAAATGATTTCACTTGAAATAATTCGAATCCCAATTCTTAATAATTTTTTTTTTTTAATCGCGACGAAGGTTTTGGAATTATTGAGTTTTCCGCAGAAGATTGCAAATATGATGCTTTAGTATGGTCAAGTGGCGTGCGAATTGGAACACACGACAAACTCCAAGTTTGACTACTTTTTTAAAAAAAAATTTTTTTTCTAGTTTACTTTTCTTCTTTTATTTGAATTCCGTTTGAAGAAAAAACAATTTTAACAATTTTTTTTTTTTTTTTTTTTTGAATAAAAAATTTAAATTAAAACAGATGGAAAAATTAAATTGAGAAAATACTAATCGAAAGAAATATTATACTGCAAATAGTCGACGGTTTGAGAATATCATCAGTAACGTTATATGGTGTCAACTTATTAATAAATAATTTACTGTAATTTTAGAATATAGACCTCTTAGAAAACATATCAAGAAAATATTTAAATACTTCTTAATATAATTAATTGACTGTAAAATTTGAATTTCTCGACTATACGCTCTTAATAAAATCTCTGCCCATTTATCCTAATTCCTCCATCATTTTTCACACTTTGTGTTTCTTTTAGATCATTTGATTTATTTCGACTTCGATTGCCTCCTCGAACTTCGGCAACCCAATAACATAACCATCAATAACTACTTTTTCTAAGAAAAAAGAATGAATGAATTATGCGCAAAAATTTATATAAACATCAACGATATTCCGAAAGATTCATAATAAACACACTATGCATGCATAAACAATAACATAAAAAAGATAAGTCGTGATTTTTCATTAATATACAATTGTGCATGTAACGAGATATGCGCCAACCAGTTGGTTTGCATGCTTAATACGTTATCACAAACTTACAATCAATCTATCATTCAATTATTGACTCGTGGATTTTTTCCTCATCATTGGTAATTTTTAAGCTGTTGGTATACATGTTTTGACCTAGCATTAGGGAATAATTATAATGTGTGACTAAAGTATCAAAAATAACATATGGCGTGAATTTAAAATTATCCTTCCACATATACAATAGTATCTTAAATTATCTATAGATCTTAAAGAACTTCTAAGATAAATAAATTTAATTGTTTTAAATAACCTATAACTTTAAAGAATCTCTATATAATGACAACGTATTTAACTTAATTACTGTATCGTGAAAAGTGACGTTCAAATTGATTGTACGTATTATAATTTATGGACATAACGCAATTCGAGAATTAATTCGACTTTTTCCTAGGAAAGACGCAAGTTTTAACTAGAGCGCACAAAGATAAACGACATTCAGAAACATGTTGTATTTAAATCATAATGTCATTATATTGTATATCTTAATTGGCTTGACTTTCTACGTACCATTTGAAGGAAATGGGATTTCCGAGTCAACTACGAATAGATTTTCTGTATATCCGTTATTGGAATTGATTTTAGGTAAATACTCATAAAATTCTGCAGATGAATTTTGAACGTCTGGGGTTTTATATGTTAATTCGGATATAAAATATTAGTTGTGAAGGTGCAAGTAATGGTAGAGGTAATGTGGATTTTTTTTCAACATACTCGTCCTATAGTATAACGCATGGCTATCGATCCCAAAATCCAAAGATTGGTTTGAGAGTTTCACTGGTTGTTTTACGTGAAAAGGTTTTGAATTCGCGACTGAAGATGAAAAAGTGAAAGAATTAAAGAATTAAAGGTAAGGTAATCGCGTTATAAGATTAGGTTGATCTATATTCTTTGACTATGTTAGCTATTCAGACATACCGTTATAAGCAGTCGAATCAGAACCACTATGATCAAATTCAAACGAGTACGAATTGGATTCTTGAGAACGCGTTGTAACCGTTGCAGGTAGATCATCCGAGGGTCCAATTGGCCGATTTTCGTAAGATTGCAAATACGAATCAAAGGTGGAAGGAAAGATGATTATAGGAAAAATAGGAGATAATGATAATACTTCTATATACAATATAATAAAAAATTTTTAAAACAAGATGATGGTTAATTAATTGATAATTACACTTAGGAAAATCATCAAAATACCTTGGTCTTCATTTTCGGACATATTGGAATTGCTTTTATAAGGAGCACAATAAAGTCTCCTTTCGATGCATCGCTGGCATTGTTCGTTGATACTGCCTGTGCATTTTTTTTTTGAGTTGTGGCAATTAATGCATGCTCTCGAGTATGGACCTCTTTTCGAATATCTAAACATAAAATACGCGAATAAAAAAGATGACACTTTGGTTTATCAAACACGATACTTCAGATTCTTCACAAATAATTACCGTTGCATTTTATGTCAAGTTATAAAAAAAAGAATCAGATAACTCGCGTGTTTTATATCTTTTCTCAACGAGCGATCCTGCGGATAAGTGGTCGGAAATAATGCATATGTAAATGATCATGTCATGTAGTGTGTTTCTGTTTAATCTGGATTCGAATTCTATTCCGATGATTTTAGTAAAATGTGCCAATCAACAGCGATTTCGTCATTGCTTTGTTAACTATTAAAGCACATACTTCCAATTGGTGAGAAGTAAATTTTTACAAAAATAACAAATATTAATATATATTTTTTTAATTTTTATTTTAAACAATATTATAATGGTGGGAAATACCGAGTCGGTCGCCGATGATCACCGGATTCCGAGAACCGTGATTTTTAGCTATAAATACTCGGTTCTATTTCCGAAACGAAAAAAGCGCTTTTTCAATATTGGAATATTTTTATTAAATAAGAAGTGTTAAAATTTTATATATAGAAATTACATCATATTTTATCGACAAATTTAAAGTTTTATAAATTTATATTGTAAATTAATGAAATCACAATCAAATAAAATTAAAATATATTATTAGTATTAAAAAATAATAATAATAATAATAAATTATTTTTATTTAGATATAAAAATATTTTTTTTTAAATATTCGTTGCATGTAAAGAGAGTTACAGAATGTACGGAATGTACAGAACACATGTATAGAATATTATAATTATCGGTAAATTAATCGATGACCTGATGGACGTATATACTGTATGTCTTTCGATAAATGTCCCTAATTTTAACTAAATTAAAATATTTATAGAATAATGCACATTATTAAATATTGGTATTATCAAGAGTTGACCAGTACAAGCTTATCACAGATACTTTGATATTTAAAGTGCACACTTGCTAACATAATTAAATAATACTGTAGATATCACAATGTATTTATACATGTTTTTAATTATTTAATCAAAATAAATTAATATAAGGCAAATTTTTTAAAGACAAATATATTATAAAATTTTTAATTATTTGTCTACATCTAATAAAAATTAAAATTATAAAAAAAAAGGCATTAAAAATTTGAAAAATATTGGCAGACTTAAAAATACAAGTCATTTTTTTAAAAAATATTTTTATTATTGATATTTAAATACTTTTAATAAAAATTATTTTTAAAATTACAAGCAAAATTCTTATTTTTAAATTTATCTTTTTTTTTAAAGATTTTTTATTTAAAATTTTTTTAAACGTTTAATCCATTATATATATAACTTAATAATAATGATTTATAATAACATTTTTATTATAATTATTTAAAAAAATTAACAATTTTAATAATATAACTTTAATTATATTTATTTTCTATTTTCTATTTTTTTTAAATATATTGCATATACTTTTTTTTTATTTTTAATATTTATTTAAAATAACAAATAATAATAAAATTTATTGTTAAAACTCTTTTCCACTTATCCTACTTCATCTGAAGATTTTCTTTTTAGAAAATTTTCTTCACTTTCTTCTTCACTTCTCTTCTTCTGTTAAAGATGAAATTCTATAGCAGATGAAGTCTAAGATGTGCTAACATCATATGAGACTTCTCCAACTGTCAGATATTATTTTCCAAAAAATATATATGTATTGTAACATGAAAGTGGTGACACAAAATTTGTCAAAAAATATTACATGCCATAATTAAAACAAGCCATGATAAAACAATAGTCAGCATATATGAAAAATATGAAAATATGAAAAACTTTGATAGAGAATATAATATAAGTAGGAAAAAGACCAGGTAAAGTCATGTGACCTGTCTTTGCTTGATAAAATTAATTAATTATATAAAATAACAACAAAAACAATGATATATTATATAATAGCTTTACTACAATTTAATATTTTACTTTTCTTTTTACTTTTCTTTTTTTGTTCATTTTATTTTCTTATTATCAATTCTTATGTTTTTATTAAACTTATTGTATAAAAGAATCATATTATAAAAAAAGAAAAAAATATATTATTTTGCCAACAATTAATAAAAAATTAACTTTTTAACCATAATCAAATTCACCTCACATATAATAAAAACATTTATTATTATTATATTATTCTTAACTTTCATTAGTAAAAGATTCACCAATAGCAGTGACAGTATATAGTATTGGTTAACACATCTGAAAAAGCACTTTTGCTTAAAAAAGTATAAGCTAACCAAACCTGTGCATAACAGAAGTTTGAAATAAGAAAAATGAAGGTTTTTGAGCAATATTAATCTTTTCTGTAGCAAGGCTCTACATATGTCTGGCAATCATAAGCAAGAGAGCAATTTTCTTTTTTTTTTTTTGTTTTTTTTTTTTCTCTTTTCTTAATTTTTTTTCTTATTAATAAATTGTTTTTTATTTCTCTTGAAAGTTTTCTTTCTAAATCTTTCTTTTTTTACTCTGCAACCATCTCATTAACTTTCTAAAATATCAATACTCCTATTTTGATCAAGTATATATCTTACTCAAGTTGAAGCCACTTTTGTTAAGAAATATAGGCCTTTTCTTCCCTTGCTTAAAAGAGCTTAACTTGAAAAAGGCCATAATGGAATCATTTTGACTAAAAGTTTGTAATCATTTTATATAAAAGCTACCAAGAATATTTTCAATAGTCACTAGCCTTTATACTAAAGTCTAAGAATACATAAAGAAATATAGTAGATTAATGAAGGTAAAAATTCTCTAACACAAAAGATCATATGCATAAAGCCTTACATGGCTGAGCTCTGGTTTTGCTTGAAATATTTAATCAGAAATATATACTAGACAAGTGTTTCCATTTTGAATACCTGACATTATCATTATTTACATATATTCAAGAAGAATTTTTATGGAGTTGATCTTCTTGTTTATTTTTTCAATTCTTATCTATATCAAAAACTATGATCAGCTTATCCACTCCAAAAGATCAGTGCAAGATGATCATACCATATTGAAAATAAGGCCTCTAATATGAAATAATCTATAGGCTGTATTATAATAATAAACTAGTTCCCAGATTCAATATATTTAAAATCCAATTCTTTTAACTATATCAAACAACTCACTTTTTTTTTTCAGTGAGTACACATACTAGTTTATAATATAACTAGTAGCTAGTTATTATTTACCTCTTCTCTTTCTCTATATAGGTTTTTAGAGTTTATATATATCACCTTACATTGTCACACTAGGCTACAATTAATTTATTTATGTAAAGATTGTTAATATAATGACAGTAAATAAAAGTTTAATAAAGTTTTATATTTAATGTCTTTTAACAATATATATATATATATATATATATAATTTTGCTAATTTGATTGATTTAATTTAAATAATAATTAATACTTATAAATATATAAATATTGGTTTAATTAATATTATATTTAAGAATAAATATAAAATATTTTATTTATTTTATTTTTTTTATATTTCCATTGCCGTTAGCGCAGGTATCTCTGATCACCTTGCTTGTCTCCCGGTGTTTCTCCGGGATACTTGGGTGAAGATCAGTCCTACTAACTCATCTTAGGCCTAAGCCTCTAAGTATAGACGATAGAGGTGAATAAGTGCTATATCAAGACAAGCAGACCTTGCTATCTGCCTTAACGATCAATGCCTGCAGTCACCGGCTACAGTTTTTCAACCATTCAGTTTAGCCAAGACTTACTAAGATTTAGTCAGTGAGATATTATTGGTGGGATGAGGGTACACCAGTACACCAAATTCATCTGGGAATCGGACCCAACCTCATCCTTCCTAATCTAACCTAGCAATACATATGGGGGTTACGTTTTATGGAGTCATGCAGTCAACCATCGCAAGTATATCCCTTAGGATAGAACATCCCGTGATACAAGTAACCTCCTGCACCCCCGACTGGATTCTCGCTACCATTGGACATGTGAAACTCTTACTGATAGTTGTGCGACTAATGGTTTTAGCTGTCTATACCTTTCTTTTTTACTACCAGAAAGATCCTATGAAACTTCTTCCCCCTTTTGGAGATATTTCCCAGGCAATACTTGATCAAAAAGTTTACTAATCAAATCATTTATCTTTTCGACTTATGGGATGTAGTCTACCCATAAGGTTCCCTGATCGCTGAAACAACCCAAATCGCTCTTTATCACGAGTTACAGGGGCAGTGACACAAAGTCCTTTTTGGGATATGTGAATTGTTCCCCAGCTAGAATTGAACCGTGGGTCATGGGTTAGCCCTATCCTGTCTTAGCCTACTGGACTATGACCAGGTAGGTCTATAAATATGAAATGTTTTATTTAAACAATTAATTTATATTATTATATATTATTTTTATCTCAAAAAAAAAATAAAATTGAAATATTAATAGCAAAAAATATTTTATATAAATGGACCTATATAGTATACTAAAATTTCTGAAAATATATTAAAATTAATATAGTTTTGAAGTATATAAGATAAAGTAAAAGAAATAATAATGATTTGTTTAATTAAGTTAAATTTATTATGTATACAAATTAAACTTTTAATTTTAATTATAAATATTTTAAAGTTATATATACAATTTAAATTATAAAATAAATATTATCTTTATTAGAACAGTTAATTATATGTAATTTTATAGAGAGAAATACTCTTATAAAAATAAGTAATTAAAGAGTAATAGAAAAAATAAAAAATATTTTAAAGTAATAATAGCATAAAAAGCATTATATATTTTAATAATAAATTAGTAATACAAAAATTATTATAGAATAAACAATATTCCAAAGGCAAATTTTAG